ATTGATTCTCTAATGGACAGTGATTCATAAAACACATTCATGAATCGGAGCTTTTACTGGTCCAAGTACTAAATCAACCCTCAAGAGAATTATTTATCTACTTCTTTCTTAAGAATGAATGGATTCCATCTCGTGTAATAACATTCCCGGCTACCTACTTCATCATGTCTCTAAAATACAAGGAATAGGATTCAGGATCTCAGAATCCGTACCGAGTAAATCAAAAGACATAAATCCATAAATAGGAGTCTGTTAAGAACTCAGGATTAAGATTATTCTATATATGACCATCGGTAGACTAAATTAGAATTTCTATACTTAACAGAAATTATTAGAAATTCATATTGTGTCTGTGTCCTTATTTCACATAATCTCATTATGCGAAATACACTCATTCAATATCTCACCATATTAACAGTGCGGATAACACCGTTCCATTCTAAATGGGAATGACATGTATTAATAATGTTTTAATTAAAGATTCTGAACTTTAATTAAATTTATTATGAATATTGCTTTTTGATTATTATCCTTAAACATTATCCTCTCGTATATAACACTTATATACAATGTTTAAGGTTACATAAATAATCACAGAATTTTTATTGATATTCATAAAATATTCACAAATATATACACATAAAATGATGAATAAACTATTTTATTAAATAAATAATAAATATCCTATTACATCTTATGCTTCTAGGATATCATTCCCAACAAAAATTAGGCCAAGCCGCACTGTGCGGGTTAAGAAAACTTTAGACCGTAACATTCTCATAAGCCCACAAACCCGTAATCTGTCGGGTGACCTCGGGTAGGCTCAGGTTACTCGGGTTGACAGGCTTGGAAACTTTTTCAATTATCACAATATGCATAAAGCAATGGTGATCTCAAGGACCACATGATCACTTTTTAATCAATTAATATGTGCTGTTGCGGAAGGAATCATTATCAAACAGAACATGTCTTTCCTTCAAAAAGGGGTCTAAATGCAAGGTGAACAATTAAAACACACACTTTGAAATCAAATACTTCCAAAAATGACAAATTCAGTATTTTGAAGAGAAAAAAAGTTGTAAGAGAAATAAGAAAAATCATATCTTTTTAGCGAGACATTGGTAAAATCACAAAGCTAATTATAAGGTGTCTAATTAACAATTACACAAATCCACCATCCACAAATTTACCCTCTTTATGTTGTGTTTGGAATATTTTTAACAATTACACAAATCCACCATCCACAGAATTAAGAATAAACAAGAATTATTTAAAGACTCAACCCTTTATGTTGTGTTCGGAAGATTTTTAAACTTATTATCATTACGGTTGGGCATTATTTTACCTATCTTTTGAACATGTTCGGCTAGGTAGGAGTACCTCGGGTTCATGCAATCCCACCCCGCGTCCCTGCTCGCACAGTGCGAGTTGGGCATAATTAAAATTAAAAATTAAATAAAAAATTAAAAACCCGTGATTTTCGAGTATGGTCGGGTTAGCTCGGCCAGGTTCGTCGGGTCTGGGTGATTTCTAAAAGCCCTATCGGGCCCTTTGTATAAATAGACTAAGTAAAAAGTGTTTTTAAGTAAATAAACCACAAAAAAAATAAATTGAGTAAATAGGCCAACTTCCACATCAGCTATTCCACGTCATCAATAACCGACCGATCAGACTAAGAACAGACCAAGAACCGACCACCAGACCAAGAACCGACCACCAGATCAAGAACAGACCAAGAACCAACCACCAGACCAAGAACCGACTGACCAGACCAAGAACAAACCAAGAACCGACCACCAGACCAAGAATAGACCACCAGACCAAGAACCGACCACCAGATCAAGAACAGACCAAGAACCGATCGACCAGACCAAGAACAAACCAATAACAAACTCTAATAAAACAATAAAAACATACATTTTTACATATTTTTTGATTTTTTAGGTATCAATAACCATTGTAATTTATAAAATAGAAAAAAATATTAGTAAAAAGAGAAAAAACCAAGAACAGACCAAGATGTTCTTAGTCTGTTCTTAGTTTTTTCATTTTTTACCAATTATTTTTTTCTTTAATAAATTAAATATATTTCCAATCTTCGGGACTAGTTCGAAGCTTTCCAAAAAAAAAACATCATTGTCTATTATTGGTCAAGTGTTGTCAGTTTTTGGTCAGTTTTTGGTCTGTTCTTAGTATGTTCTTGATTTTTTAATATTTTACCAATTTTTTTCTCTTTTATAAATTAAATGTCTCTCCAATCTTCAGGACTAGTTCGAAACTTTCAAAAAAGAAAAACACATCACTGGCTATTCTTGGTCAAGTGTTGTCGGTTCTTGGTCTGTTCTTACTTTTTTCTTTTTTTACCAAAATTTTTTTCTCTTTTATAAATTAAATGTCTCTCCAATCTTTTGGACTAGTTCGAAGCTTTTCAAAAAAAAAAAAACAACTTCATTGTCTATTCGTGGTCAAGTCTTATCGGTTCTTGGTCTATTCTTGGCCTGTTCTTGGTTTTTTAATATTTTACCAAATTTTTTTTCTCTTTTATAAATTAAATATCTCTCCAATTTTCGGGACTAGTTCGAAGCTTTCCAAAAAAAAAAAACAACATCATTGTCTATTCTTGGTAAAGTGTTGTCGGTTATTGGTCTGTTCTTGGTCTGTTCTTAGTATGTTCTTGGTTTTTTAATATTTTATCAAAATTTTTTTTCTCTTTTATATATTAAATATCTCTCCAATCTTCAGGACTAGTTCGAAGCTTTCCAAAAAAAAAACAACAACATCATTGTCTATTCTTGGTCAAGTGTTGTCGGTTCTTGGTCTGTTCCTAGTCTGTTTTTGGTTTTTTAATATTTTACCAATTTTTTTTCTTTTATAAATTAAATGTCTCTCCAATCTTCAGGACTAGTTCGAAGCTTTCAAAAAAAAAAACACATCACTGGCTATTCTTGGTCAAGTGTTGTCGGTTCTTAGTCTGTTATTGGTTTTTTCTTTTTTTACTAAATTTTTTCTCTTTTATAAATTAAATGTCTCTCCTATCTTTGGGACTAGTTCGAAGCTTTCAAAAAAAAAACATCATTGTCTATTCTTGGTCAAGTGTTGTCGGTTCTTAGTCTGTTATTGGTTTTTTCTTTTTTTACTAAATTTTTTCTCTTTTATAAATTAAATGTCTCTCCTATCTTTGGGACTAGTTCGAAGCTTTCAAAAAAAAAACATCATTGTCTATTCTTGGTCAAGTGTTGTCGGTTCTTAGTCTGTTATTGGTTTTTTCTTTTTTTACTAAATTTTTTCTCTTTTATAAATTAAATGTCTCTCCTATCTTTGGGACTAGTTCGAAGCTTTCAAAAAAAAAACATCATTGTCTATTCTTGGTCAAGTGTTGTCGGTTCTTAGTCTGTTATTGGTTTTTTCTTTTTTTACTAAATTTTTTCTCTTTTATAAATTAAATGTCTCTCCTATCTTTGGGACTAGTTCGAAGCTTTCAAAAAAAAAACATCATTGTCTATTCTTGGTCAAGTGTTGTCGGTTCTTAGTCTGTTATTGGTTTTTTCTTTTTTTACTAAATTTTTTCTCTTTTATAAATTAAATGTCTCTCCTATCTTTGGGACTAGTTCGAAGCTTTCAAAAAAAAAACATCATTGTCTATTCTTGGTCAAGTGTTGTCGGTTCTTGGTCTGTTCTTGGTTTTTCTTTTTTTATCAAATTTTTTTATCTTTTATAAATTAAATGTCTCTCCTATCTTTGGGACTAGTTCGAAGCTTTCAAAAAAAAAACATCATTGTCTATTCTTGATTAAGTGTTGTCGATTCTTGGTCTGTTCTTGGTTTTTTCTTTTTTTACCAAATTTTTTTCTCTTTTATAAATTACAATGGTTATTCATACCCAAAAAATCAAAATATATGTAAAAATGTATGTTTTTAATATTTTATTAGAGTTTATTATTGGTCTGTTCTTAGTCTGGTCGGTCGGTTCTTGGTTTGGTGTTCGGTTCTTGGTCTGTTCTTGGTCTGGTGGTCTATTATTGGTCTGGTGGTCGGTTCTTGGTTTGTTCTTGGTCTGGTCGGTTGGTTCTTGGTTTGTTCTTAGTCTGCTCTTGGTCTGGTGGTCAGTTCTTGGTCTGTTCTTGGTCTGGTGGTCGGTTCTTGGTCTGTTCTTGGTTTGGTGGTCAGTTCTTGGTCTGTTCTTAGTTTGGTGGTTGGTTCTTGGGGTGGAAATGGTCGGTCGGCGTTGGGGTTGGTCGGTCGGCGTTCGAGAGAGTCAGGTTGGAGTTCTGGAGGGTCGGTCGGCGTTCGGGATGGTCAGTCGGTGTTCGTGAGGATCAGTCGGCATTTGGGAAAGGTCGTTCAACGTTGGGGTGGTCGGTGAGAACCAGAGGAGAGAGAGAGAGGAAAAGGGGTATGGGCATGGAAGGAAAAAGAAAAAAAAAAGGGTCAGTTAGGGTGAGAATCTGTTCAATTTTAAGAAAAAAAAATTAAAATGTACACATAAATTAAAATGTGGTCTATTTTTTAACACGTAAAATACACGTCAATGATTTTTTGTTATGAAAAAAAATAGTCTAGATCCCCAATTTCTATTTTCTTCCGGTCTCTTTCATCCAAATTTCTCAGCTCTCTCTCTCTTTTTCCCCATTTTCGCTCTCTCTGTCCCTCTCTCCTCTCTCTCTCTCTCTCTGCGTGGAAGCTTCATCGACAGATCTAGTTAGATTCGCGCCGATGACCATCGTCTCTCTCCTCTATTCTCTCCGTGTCGAATCAATGCCCCGGAGCCGTGCCTCCTTCACGTCATAGATCTGAAAATCACCGTTATTTTCTCTCCTCTGGATATGATCAAACAGTTTGGGCATGGAGGTAACAGAAATCCATTTACGTATTCTCGTTTACTGTTTTTAACCAAAACACCGATGCTGAAAATGGCCAAAATGGCCAAAATGGGCGCAGACCCATTTTTTTCCACTCTCTCTCTCTCACGGCATCTTTCCTTCCCTGCCTGTCAATCAGTCTTGTCTCACTTTTTTCTTCTTTTCTCTGATGAAGGATGATAGAGGTCTTGTACTCCTTATAACGCCCGTAAGAAGATCAACCCTAATTTTCTGTCTCGATTTCTGAGCACCAATTTCTCTCTCCGTTTCTGACTCTGAACATCAATTTCTTGCGAGAACCCTCGCTTTCCTTCCCCTGTTTTTGCGATGTTCGCTGCAGCCGTTGATTCGTCGTTAACGTCTCTGTCGTCTCTTTAAGGTGAGACTCTCTGTACTGCGGTTTTGTTGGGGGTTCTTTTGGTACTACAGACCAGAGAGTTCTGTTTGTGTACAAGATAAAAAAAAAAAAGAAACAATGTTTTTTTTTTTCTCTTCTTTTTTTATTTGCGATTATTGGACTCTTTTTCCTTCAGTTTTTGTTTTCATCATGAATAGGTTTCTAGCTTGTAGAAAAATGGGTGTTAGAGCGCCTCAAACAGCCTTGGGTTGTTTATTCCCTCCAGGTATGCAATGATTTTTTTTGCTCGTTTTCTTAAGATTGGCATCATGAATAGGTTGCCTCATGGTGATATCTCATGCAATCTGAACATGTGATGTTTGTTTGTTGCTCCTTTTCATAAGAAAAAAGTAGAAGAAAATTAACAGTCCTTTAGAGGGGTAGGGTTGGTTATTACAATGTTTCGTATGGACTCTTTTTCCTTGTTCAGTGGCTGAATTTGATTATTTTTGTTAATGGTTTTAATAATAGGCTAATAGTTTAGTGGTTCACATTGTTTCTGTGGTTGCTTTTCTACATGGGCGTGTGTTTATCTCTGTTTGGTCTTTCTGCCTTCTTGTAATAGTCCCGTATGGCTGTAGAATAACTATTCTTTTCCTTTTGTAGTTGGAGCCTATCTGTGGAACCATGGTGTCATTTACAAATAGTTGGACTGATCTTTATTTTCTTTTGGGTTTTTTTAACCTGCTGATGCTCTTTCAATGTGCTAGATATATGTATTTATCTACAATATAATTTTTTTCTTCTATTTTATGGCAGATCGGTTCATTCTTTATTCTTTGCAACTCTAGAAGTTGAGGAGATATCAGGTTCAAAACCAGCGGAAGTGCACAACTGGGGGTTGGTTTTAGCAACATATGTAACGTTCATCATTGGATATGATTTTTTGTTTATTTTTGCTGGAGAAATTTTATTTCGAGGGAGGTTTTGATTATGATGAAAAAAAGGAAGTGGAAGAGGGAAAATGAGCTTTTTTTACCTTCCTATTTTTTTGTTCCCCCCCTCCCCCCTCTTTTTCCCTCTCTCTTTAAAAGTCTATATGATATCTTATTTGTGATATAAGAAAAAAGTGCACGTTGTTTTACTCTCCTTGTGTGTTCTCTCACAGATCAATCCAAGTTTCCTTCAGCAATTTTTCCAATCTAAAACTGACTTTTCTTTGATTTTTTTTTTGTTTTTTGTTTTTCCTTTTCAAGTGTCTAGTGTCTCAGAACAATTTGTTCACTTTTTCTTGTTTCCAACTATTTGTATATCCAAAATGGATTACATATAAAGTTATTTGCTTGTTATCAATGGACTTGTATTATGTTTATATTATGGTATTTTGAATTCTAAATCTTTTATGAATTTCTAATCAGTTAGTTTCTAAAATGATAATAAACTATGGCCAGTTGAGAAGCTCTATTTATTTTTACAAAGTCTTGGATGCTTTTTTCTCTTTCAGGTTCGCACTTCTACCCTCACTTCTTTCTTCTATTTTTTGGATTTTTCTGTTGTAGGTTTGGATTTGTGCTGCGATTGTTTATTTAATTGTCCTGATTTTGGGGTTTGGATTGCTGTTGCGATTCTTGCTTTAATTTTGTTTAGAAATTTGGTTCATATTATTTTTGTTAATTTGGATTTCTTTGTGTGCAATTTTTGGATCTCTTGAAACCCTATAATGAAGGCCAAATGTTCTAATGGCCGCTTCTTTTGTTGCCTGCTCTGTCTCTTTTCTCTTTCCTTGTTATTGTTCGACCTTTGCCTATTTGGGTTTTCATATTTGCCTACTTTCTTCTTCTCTCTTTTGGATGGCTGAGACAACGTCACCTGCATTGTTGGATTAGTGCTGCGACTGTTTCCTTAATTCCGTTCTGAAATTTGGTTCTGATTTTGAGGTTTGGATTGCTGTTATGATGCTTGCTTTAATTTTGTTAAGAAATTTGGTTTCAGATTATTTTTGTTATTTTGGATCTCTTGAAACCCTATAATGAAAGCCAAATTTTCTAGGGTGCTTTCTTTTGTTGCCTGCTCTGTTTCTTTTTTCTTGCCTTTCTTGTTATTGTTGGACCTTGCCTATTTTGGTTTTCTTACTTGCCTGATTTCTTCCTCTCCCTTTTGGATGGTTGAGACAACGTCACCTGTGTTGTTGTAGTGATTTCAAAAGCCTCCAATGTTGAGTGTGGAATCAAATAAGTTGCTTTTATTTATATTCTGGTTTGCACTTCTCTTCTCTCTTCATATGCTTTTTTTATTTTGTTGAAATTTGTGATTTTGTATTTGTTTTTCATTTTGTTTGCTGTTTTTATTTGGTTCCATTTACTCTTACTACCTCCTTGTTATTGAATTATTGGTTGTAACAAAACATTTGGATTTTGTAAACCGTAAAAAGAAAATCCAAAGTGATCAAAGTTGACTATCTGCCTAATCATTCTTGTATCACCTATTTACTCATTCTGATTTGTTGTGTAAATTGTAAGGTTCTTAATTGGTGTCTTTAATCATGTGATCCTTTTTTTTTACTTCTATTTCCAGTGGATTGATCTCTTTTTGAATGTGTGTTCTCAAAGTTAGCTATTTTTCAACTCTTTTTTCTCTTTGGTGCTAATCAATTTTGGAACACATATTTTTTAGTATTCTCTTCTCTTAGTTTTTTCCCCACTCTATTCTCTTCTTACTACAACAGAATGGACTTTTAATAACTTTTAGTTATAGCGTTTTTGAAAAACTACTATTAAAACTTATTTTGCTTGAATTTAAAGCGTTTCAAAAGAAGTTATTTTCAATATATATATATATATATATTAAAAAATCATGGAATATTTTGGTGGTAATGTTTTATATATTTATATATATATATATATTAAAATTTAATTTGGTGAAATTCCCTAAATTTTCAGGTATTGAAAATTACTTCCCCAAATTTTCAAATTTTCGCTCACTCATTCTGCCTCTTTATTTTTTTTCTGCTTTTACTATAATACGCATACGAGCAAAAGCTTCCCCCACTTTCACTCATTTTTCACTCCTCCACGCTCATTTTCTTCGTCATTTTTTCACTCCACGCTTCTTTTCTTCTTCATTTTTTTGTTCCACGCCGAAGTGAAACTAGGGCTTCTTCTCTCTATCGCCGCTCCTTCTTTTCTCTCCACCGCCGCTCCTTCTCTTCATGGTGACCCTCGCTTTCTCTCAAAAGTCACCCGCTGCTCCTCCTTCTTTCCTTCAGATTCGGCCTTTGGGAAGTCAGATTTCTTGCAAGGCCGCAGCTCCGTTTCAGGTATTTCCCCTGTCCATTCTACTTTATGCCATCCAGGCCTTCCCGATCCCATTTACCAAATCCCCACTTGGATTCTCCAAATCGGCCCTTTTCCGTAATGGGTTCTCTTTACAATCATATGTTCTTCTTGGATTTTTCATAAACTCTTGTTCTTCGAGTATTTACGCAAGAGCAGCCACGGAGAAGAGTCTCTATGACTTCACTATAAAGGTATTTGTTTCGTGAAAAAGCTCGTTCCTTTGTACTCTATTGTTTAATTTAAATTTGTTAATCTGAATCTAGGTAAAGGTGATTGTGAGGTTTCTGAGCCGTGTTCGGTTTACAGTCGCAGGCCATCTCTACTCCCCATGTCTCCGTTCTCTTGTCGGCGGTTTCCTCCACTCCTTCGCGGCCTCCAAGATTGTCTGCTGCTTCAGGTGCTGTTTGATTTTTTTTAATTGTGTGTAATTGGCTTAAGGGCCCGTTTAGTTCGCTGATTCGAGTTTTTAATTTGAGGTGAGATGTGATTTTATGTGAGCTTTTTACTGTAGTAAAAAAGTTAGACGTGACTATTTCTGAGAACTTTTTACTGTAGCAAAACTTGAATTCTAAACTCGAATCAGTGAAATGAACGAAACCTAAATAAAAACTAAAGGTTGAATTATATTCTGAAATACTTCTTTATTTTCAACAAAAATTGCTCGGTAACCAAAAAGGTTCACAAACTTTTCTCAGACAACTTCAATTTCAAATTGGTAACTATAAATCTCACGTTTCAATCTGATAAAGCACAACTCGAATCCACGCCAATTATTAAGATCCCGTTCATTTCACTGATTTGAGTTTAGAATTCGAATTTTGTTACAGTAAAAAGCTCTCAGAAACAGTCACATTTAACTTTTTTGCTATAGTAAAAAGCTCTCACATAAAGTCACATCTCAACTCGAATTAAAAACTCAAATCAGCATATTAAACAGACTCAAAGCAAAAAACCTAACAAACATCAGGGTATTTTTCTAGGATGTGTACAGTTTCTGCATTCTAGCACACTAAAAAGACAACATCGAGGAAACAAGAACACCAAGAAGAAAACACCAGAACAACAACTATGGTAAATCCTCTATGCTAATCACTTTACTAGATAGCCAAAAAAATTTATAATTTGGAAACTGAGGTATTATTCATGTTTGTTGCCAAATCACCAGTAGCTCTTTTCAACCCAAAATCAACAGACTACTTTCAATGATTGTGATTATGCTCGAATTCCTCCATAAAAACTCCTTATCCCTGCCATGTAGCCTGAAAACTCGGATAGCATGGCATCTATTCTCAATGAACCGATAATAAACCCTGCATATATATGTAAATATATATATATATATCATTTAAATAAGATGAATAATAAAACAAACGTATTAAGTACACTTTTACCTGTTCAAAAGATCCTGATAACTTGTATGAGTATATTGTCATTGAAATCCTTGGAGCTAACTTCAGAATGTGCATCATCATCATCTTCTTCCTCTTCTTTTCCATGTCCTCTTCTTCTAACTCCTCTATGTCCTCCACGTCCTCTTCTTCCAAATCCTCCATGTCCTCTTCTATGTCATCCTCCTCCTCTCCATCTCCCCATGATTATGATGTTCAAAGAAATCTTCTATAAACTTGTAATGAACTGCTTACGTGACCGTTACTTAAATACTAAATTTTAAACTTAACATAAAATACTTAAATTTGTGGAATAATTTTTTTTAATAATATTTCTCAAAATGAATGAGTGATTTCGTAAAACATATTAAACATGATTTCATAAAACATTTCATAGCCTCGATTAAAACATCTTACAATGATATTAAATTTAATACCGTTATAAATTTGTATTTCAACTTCGCCTATCCGCTTGTATAGTCAGTCCCAAGCCCGGGTAAAAGAGGGTTGCGGTAAGTTAATGGCCAGCGTAAAAATAAGTCACTCTCATAGATTTCACTTACATAGAATCTTGTTGTTGTTGTTGTATAAATTCGTATTTCAAATACTTTGTCAATCCTTTCCGAAATTGATCTTAAACATTTCCTTATTTGAAATTTCATGTACTTGTTGCACGAGCTACAGAAACATTTTAAATCTTAAAATTTTTTAGACTGAGATTATAAATATTATAATCTCTGTCTTCAATAATAATATACATACATGACTATGTTAAAACATGCTTGCTTGAAGACTAGTTAATCGTATATACATAATTTAATTCAAAGTTACTGCGGAAGATTTATTCGTGAGCGGTATCCATTCCTATCTTTATCATTCATCTGCCATTCGCCACTACCCGTCAAGAGTTGCTGATAGGTTTCTTACCTACAAACATAAACATATCTGAATGAGTTTTCGTTCAGCAAGTAAGAACTATATCTCGGAGGTTGGTATGGCACTCAATTTCGTTCTTATAAGTTTCACTGGACTTATTAATGAGTATGCAGTATGGCATGACATCGCATACTCTAACACAATGGAATGTATTATGAATTTATCTGGTTATACATAAGGGGCCCAAGTGTTTGTACCAGTTGCACGCAATCATCAGGAAGTTAGGGTTTGTGAAGGTCCCTAACAATACCGTGATCATACTAATCAAAATGCCTCCCTCGCGGAGGATTCTGAATTTGTACTGAAATTGAATATCTCCCTCGCGGAGTCTTAATTAACTCCTTCGCGGAGGTTGGTTTGACACCCTTAATTGAACTTATTTGTTCCACTTGTCTTATTGTGTGTATGCAATATGGTATATTACTGCATAACATCACATTCATGAACATACTTATACTGAACATACGATGAGTACGCAAATATAATTTAATTATCATCGTTTAACATCTCAAATAGCATATAGCATACTGAGTCATAGACATAGTATTTCTCATCAAAGAATATCATAAGATAACATGGCATAACATTGATCATGCATCTTTATAGTTTTCATAAATCGTGTGAAAACACTTTAATTTAAAAACCGCAGTTTTCATACTGTAGGCGAGATTCCTACTTACCTAGATTCTAGTAAAGCAGAATCCTGTACTCGTCCAGATATACTATCCTCTACTGCTAAGTTTTGTAAAGGAACACCCATTAAGAGTGTGGGATTAACATTTCGTATGCTATATTTATTTAGCATGGCCATAAAAGAATTAAATCATTTCTTATAACGTATTTATCCTTTTTATTAAAGATCGTAAAAATATGTAATTTCTATTATAAAGATTAATTAAATCCTCATAATTCTGTCTTTCTTAATTGCCTTTATAAATTTGTACTAAGTTGATAATTAACTAATTAATTAATTATTTTATCCATATAATAAGTCTAATAATTTAGTTAATTAATTTTAATAATTAATAAACCTTCTTATTTAAATACTAAGTCTATATAATTTAGTTATTTAGTTAATTTTAATAATTAATTAAATTCCTTAACTATATTCTAAGTCTAAGATAATTTAATTAATTAAATTATTATCCATAGGTTAAAAGAACAGTGCATTGAGGAAGTGGACGCTTTCACTCTTCATTGGATTCTGTATCCGTTTCTTCTTTGTACATTGGTTTTACAGACTTGCTCTCCTCATCAACATTTTTCATTTTCACGTGCACCATTTCCATTGTTTTCCTGCCATTAACAACCTGATTCTCGGGAGTCGGGACTCTCCTCACCTTTATCCCATGCCTTGTTTTTTCATTACACACCAGAGGATTTTTGATAAAACATTAACAACTGCAGTGAAATGTACCTTGCAGGTCTTTGGTATTAGAAACTATTAAGATTTTAATAAGATTATGGAGACAAATAGTGTTTTCATATTGATAGCATTGAATCCAAGTCATTATGTAGAAATTGCAAAAAAGGCTGGGTCTTTGTACGATAAGAACTCATATCAGTATTATATCTTTGAACTATTAGTCTGATCAAAATCACATCAAAATAATAAAGTATGTATATTAAATAGTTTTAAATAAAAGTATGGTTATTGAAAATTAGGGATGGTAACAGGATGGAGTGGGGCGGGAAATGATTTCTCGTTTCTATCCCTACTCCCATCCCGAATTATTGTCCTACATCCGCACCCCATTCGAGATGGATCCCTATTCTCATGAGGATTATTGCTATCTCTATTAAAAAATAGAACCTATAGTGCATTTCACCTTCACTACAATAAACCTATATGATGTAGCGGAAGGAAGATTTTTGCTTTTTCCCATTTTTGCTAAGCTTCCACTACATCACTACCGGTTGAACATAGTTCTAAAACATCAGTGTCATAGCTGTTTAGGAAAACTATGAACAAGTCTGACGGTTTATAACCTTGCTCTACATTGGGGTATTTTTCGTATTTCCTGCCATAGAATTCACCATGCAATTCGCTTCTTTATAACGAGTTAACCAACAATATAAGGAAAACTATCTGAACAGGATTGAGAAAGAATCGTGTATTGAATGAATGAATTGTCAAAATCACTAAAACAGTAAAACTAATGTAACTACCTATTTATACATAAGTTACATAGAGCTACTGAAACTTGTAGAATAAGCTTTACTACAGAAACTTATACTAGAAGCTTTGTAAACAATATCGTATACTAGAAGCTTTGTAAAGCTTGCTCAGAAAGCTAAGGCCATATAACTAAGGTTTCTTAACAGCCCCCCTCAAACTTAAAGTAGTTAGATCATCGACTTTAAGTTTGCTTTGTATAAGACCAGACACTAAGCTTGAAATGGCTTTAGTGAAGACATCTGTCAGTTGATCAATAGCTGGTACATGTCGAACTTCTATCTGCTTCCTCATGACCTTCTCTCGAACAAAGTATAGATCCAATTCTATATGCTTGGTTCTAGCATGTAGAACTGGGTTGGCTGCTAGATGGACTGTGTTCAGATTGTCACACCAGATTATTGGTGTCTTATGTGGCTGAAAATTTAGTTCACTTAGAAGAGATTGCAACCAAGATATCTCTGCCACCACACTAGCCAAACTCCGGTATTCAGCCTCGGTAGACGATCTAGACATTGTATGTTGCTTCTTCGATTGCCAGGATATCAAGTTAGAACCAAGAAATACACAGAACCTTGAGGTGGATCTTCTATTATCAGCATTCGAAGCCCAATCTGCATCACAAAATGCAACTAGATCTAAGTTTTTTGCAGAACACTGTCTCAAGTGTAGACCATAGTCAATTGTGCCAGCTAGATACCGTAGAATTCTTTTCACTGTTTTCCAATGAGCCTCTAATGGTGTTTGCATAAATTGGCAAACCTTGTTCACACTATAGGAGATCTCAGGTCTTGTGATTGTCACATACTGTAAAACACCTACTTCACTTATATATAACTGAACATTACTCACATGGTCACTTCCAAAAGAAGTCAGTTTTTGCCCTGTGGTCATGGGGGCTGAAGCACTCTTGGCATATTGCACCTTTGTTCTACACAGCAAATCTGTGATGTACTTTTTCTGAGACAAGTGAAGACCTCTAGACGTCCTTGTAACTTGTATTCCAAGGTAATAGTCAATCTCTCCAAGATCTTTGAGAGCAAATTCAGCATTAAGCTTGTTGGTTAACCCTTGGACAGCTGATTCATTACTGCATGTGACCAAAATATCATCCACATAGACTAGAATGTAAAGACTCTATTGTGATGTAACTTGAATGAAAAGTGATTGATCTGAATTGGCTGAACGGAAACCAAGTTTGAGTAATGCTTTGTGAAGTTTGTCAAACCATGCCCTTGGAGCCTGCTTCAAACCATAGAGAGACTTGTGCAACTTACATACCAGACTTGGATGATGTTGATCAACAAAACTGGAAGGTTGGTCCATGTACACTTCCTCCTGTAAATCCCCATTTAAAAACGCATTGTTCACATCAAGTTGCCTCACACTCCACTGTATATTTAATGTTAGAGTAAGAATGACTCGAACAGTGGTAGGTTTGACTACTAGGCTGAATGTTCCTGTGAAATCAAAACATGCCACCTGATGAAACCCTTTAGCAACAAGTCGTGCCTTGTATTTGTTTATACTGCCATCTGGATTTTCCTTTACTCTAAAAACCCGCT